TTTGTAGGTAGTAATCGAATTAGGTTCGGTTAGGGATCGGAATACTAGGCTATTATATCCAGTGCATCATGTATTTTTACAGCTAAGAAAAGCGTTTTTTTACCTCTAATCTCGACAATAACAATCACAATCGGCGAACATTCACGAAAACTAACGTCAATTCTTCTATCTATCCTCTCCAATACTGATCTCAATTTTACCCTAACAATGGTCCAAAAATATCTAACAGCATCCCTAAACGACCAAGTAGAAAAATATTTTAAATATGCCTCACAGAAATCTAGCAATTTTTTTTTAATAATCTTCTCAGTTTAAACATCATGATATCTCTTTTTTTTTTAAATGCGCCCTAATAAGGATATAGATACAGTGATCTGTAAGGAGAGTTTGATAATTATCTATAGTGACATTCTCTTTAATGCCTGGTTTCTATATTTAAAAAAAAATGTTGTTCATGACCCGTTTTATGGTGCAAAAAGTGCATGAAAAAACCTACAATAATGTATATAGCCGCTTTACTCGTTAGATGTTTAATTTTAGGTCGTCTTAAACTGTTGCCATAATAGTTTGTAAAAAACAGTTTTTACGCGCGCTTCGTATATATAATAAAACGGATCGTAACTTGAACCAAATGTTTCTTGAATATAGGAATCGGGCATCAGTTTCATCTCTACATAATATTACCTACTTCACAATGGTTGTAGTGAAATCTACAGATACCTCAATAATTTGGTACTGAAACCGTAGAAATGTATGGTTTCATAGAAAATTAATCGGCATAATAATAATTTAAATATCTATAGACTAAGTTCTGAACGGACCTACATCATGATGATCTAATAAGTGTGTAAATGCTAACTTATAACGTAACATTTTCAATCACGTCAGTATTCTACTATATATATATAACATAAAAAGTACGCAAATATGTAATATGAAAATCCTCATCACATTGTTTTAAATTCTTAAATGCCGATTAAATTTCTATATCTATATTAAAATAACGACGGAGGAATAAATAATAACTAAGCAAACATTGCAATTGTGAAAATAAATAAAAATGTAAAAAAACAACGTTCGGATTAAAAATTCAACACGCCCCTTTCTAGACCGCAAGAGAAAAGCACGGTTGATCTTTGTGTAATGCTATTTTTTAAATATTTCTGTCGCAAACCTAACATACTATGAACATTTGCAAAATATTCTAGTTGCATTTAAAACAGGTTCCTCTACAACAGGTGTGGCTAGTTATATATTACGTAAAAGGTTTTTCAATTGGCGCGGATTGATTTTGGCGACCATTTTGTTTTAGTGACATCTATCAAATCTTTTGTTTTTGGACCTAGACGTGATGTGGTTCCAGCAGGACGGTGCTATGTGCCACACAGCAGACGCCACGATTGACATTCTCCATGAGCGATTTGAGGGTGAGCTTATCTCTCGCAGGGGTGATGTGAATTTGCCTCCAAGGTCATGTGATTTGGCCCCGCTAGACTTTTTCCTGTGGGGTTTCTTGATGTCACAGGTCTATGCAAACAAACCACAACCGACCGCCCCAAAGGTGAACATAACACAGGCCATCGCTCAAATTTAGCCGGATCTATGCAAAAGAGTCATTGAAATTGGACCACTCGGATCCTTGCCACTGCAAGAAGCCGAGGCGGGCATATGAACGATGTCATCTCCTACACTTAATGGCACATGTGGGCCTTTTTAAATAAAAAAAAAGAATTTTGTAAATACTTCACACACAGCTTGTTTTTTTTTATTTCAACATTAACCCGCCCTCATTGAAAAACCCTTTATAATGTAAAAAGTGAAAGAGCAGAAACCAGACAGTGAAGGCATTAATATAGTTCCATCTCTTTCGCGCTAGACGATCGTTTCTCAACTCACTATTAGGCCAACCGTTTTTTTTTTCACGAAAAACATTTAAGTATATATTTTAAAATCATTACAAGCTATTGGTGTTATTCGAATGAATTGAGACCCATTTTAAAGAGAAACGATCGGTGGATGTTTACTTTAAAAGAGAAACGATCGGTAAATAGTGACACGACATAACATATAATTAAATAGGGTCCTCAAGTTTTAAATGTTCAAAATGTGCAATCACGGGAAATATAAGTGCAAATTCTTAATTAAACATGTCGGTCATCAAATATTTAATGCATAATCGTTTTTGAAAATACATATTATGGACATACTCAGGCCAACATAGGAAGACAGACGGAGCGCTGCGTATCTAAATTTCAAGTGATGCTAAACCATGCTCATCATGACGTACGCACGCACACTTCGTTCTTTCTTTCTTCATCAGCCCGTGAAAGTTCAATGCTTGATGCGCACACATTTGAACCTGAATATGTGTATGCGTGTTGTTAAGTTGAGCATGGTTTTGGTTCGGTTATTGCATAACTTAAAATGTACGTAGCGCTCCATCTTTCTTTCTATGTTGGTCTAACTGGGCGATAACGATTTTATTCTCTAAACAAATTCGAAACACTAACGTAGCCTTCTATTGTTTATTCGTTATTGTAAAAATAAACATTTTTAGATATCAAACGAGCGTCACTTATGTTGAATTTTTATTACATTTAATTTATAATATATATTACAATTGTGTATATTACTAGTGGCAGTTATAACGCTCAGTTTTCACGGCGATGGCATAATTTCATAGCATACATTATAATATGACAACGTTACACACTAAGTCACTATGACCCGACTACATTAAACAATATTAATTTTAGCGGCTTCTTCTCAGAACTAATATGTATTTTAAAAATTATTGCAATAATAATTATTTGTTTTAATTATTACGACAATAAACATCATTTTAGTTGAGCATCACCATTTTGTCATAAAATATAACCATTTTGTCGTTTAAACAAAATGGCTGAAAATAAGTCCTTTGTATTTTTAATAATATTATATATAGGCGGCTTTTTATTGACATAATGTGTATACATTTCCTACTGGCATTTTTTTTAAACTGTGACAGCACAGTCCGGTGACATGTGCGTCAATAATTTTTTTACAGTGGTATCCATATTATCGATATTCTATGTTAATTCGTTATTTAGTACGTAACTCGTTATGATGTTTTGTGTTAATAAAAATAGTGTTATTATAAATTTACGTTTATAATTTGTAAATGCACTTTGTAGACTGGAAGTAATTTTGATAATTTTTTAACCGCGTTTGGACATATTGTCTAAATTTAAACGTCATCATGGTTCCATTAAAAGTGCAAACACCTAAATCTGGCGGGTGATAGCTACCTATATATAGTCTGAGAGTTATAAGTAACATTTTACGCACTGCTTAGTTCTGGTTTGAATAGTTAGTTATACAGTTAGGGTTGCCAGCCTTTTTATATCAAATATAGTATTTCAAGGCAAAAAATAAATATATTAAGTGGCAATTTAATATTTCAAAGGCATATTTTTTTAGTAATTTGACCATTATAAATAGTATTCGGTTCCTATCTGTATCTTTTAGAATTGCGTTGTTTGGACCCCTAATATAGTAGGACTAGGCCTATTTTAATTACATCATTTGAGGCAATCCATTTTAGCCTTCAGGTATGCAGATCACTTACCATCAGGTGCACTAATTAGCCCGTTTGTGACTCTTGTTATCATCATCTCATTACATCCCATTACATTTCTACTGCTCCCTCAAATATCGCCAAAAACATAGTTCTGAGCCACCTGTGCTTGAGGAAGAGGGGGTGGGGGATACTCAAGCCTTACACGACGTTTGCGTATCCATTATTTTCTTTAATATTCATATAAAAATACAATAAGCAACAATCATTGTACGAGTAATAGGCAACCTTAATATTAAATTGTTTGACCGCCATTTTGCATGTTATATTTTCTTGATATTTAACGAGTTACGTAGGTAATCGAATGTTAGAGATTATTCAAAGCTCACTTGGATTCTCATATAGATAAACATTACTATAAGTAAATGAAATACCATGCAGATTATAATAAAGGAGTTAAAATCGCTACGAATTATTACATTGTAATAGAAACAATAAATGAATAATAAAACTTCACTCCTAACCGTCTGTATAAAAATGTTTTTGATTCAGTCGAATCCTCCCCATCTATAATTCTCATCAATCCCTAAAATAATATAAAGTTGAAACAAGTTTTTCAAGAGTAAGCATAAAGTGACAAAATCAATAATTAATAGTCGTAAAATCATTGGAACTAAAACTAACCAATCACTAATTCTGACGGAAAGCAATATAAAATCGAATTCACATTTGCACGACTAGTTTCCTTAAAAAAAAATTAAAACCAAAGCAAACTATAGCAGAAATTAGGAACATACGTATGACATTCCTGAGCAACTCTTGAAAAAAATCGTTCAAGAAATCAAAAAATTCTATACTAACGTACTTATCACAGGTAAAGGGGACAAGAGAAAGTATTAGTGTTCTCTCAATACAGTATGACGACTAATGTAAAACTAATACAACTTAAGATACGACCTACCGCTTGGGAGCGGCGAAACAAAATATCGTTTGTTAAAACTAAAAATTAGTAATAATAATTCTAAGCCCAATGCGCCCTTACGTAGGGCGGCTGAGATCGATAACTTATGCGTATATTGTAACGTCGGCTGGCGGTGACCAAGCGCTGAAGCGCTGCAATACCTAAGGCGACATAAAGGTCAAGACACACTCGAAACTACCACCTTCGATCTCCCAATAAGAATTATTAGCTTGACAAAAATATATAATTATCGAAGGTGAGCGTTGCGAGTGCGACAGAGCCCTAATATATCCACCCGAACATTCTCGAGGCGAGTTTTGCGAACTCGCCTGACACGTCATCACGATGGCTCCAACTGTCGTCTAGTCATCCTCGATACTACACCATACGTGGCGATCGTTACGTCCACTTAATTGACGAAAATGTCGCATCACGCCATTTTGCACCGCACTTTTAGTCCGTTGCGAGCGCAATTGTTGCGCCTTAATCCCACCCGTTCTCTTTCACCATGTGAGCCAGTTCTATTATGAACTTGCCCTCTTTGTATTTTTGACTCGACTCGAAAGCGTGCTCCTGGAAATGAAATTTGCATTTCAATACATATTGAATTTCTTTTCAAATTTTAGTGTATAAGTAGGTAAGGTTAATTTGTGAATGTCAAATATAAAAATGGGTTGAAAATGCTAACATAACCTTATTGACATTTTAAAAGGTTTTAGAAATATTTAAAACCGACTTCGATAAATTAATAAGAATAATATACCATGTAATTTAATAGCACCAGAAATCGAGGCTTTTATTCTTTGATGCAATATTAACTTATTCTGCCACCAGGGCGGCGCCACTTAATAATGAGGTGTAATATTTGACAGATATCATAGCGGGGAAGTTTTTTTAATTAGGAAACTCAACAGAATATTTTCAACCAACATACTTAAAATATATATTAATACACTTAGCCAATAACAGAGTTTCGCAATATGTTGAATAACACTTATGAAGCAGGGAGGTAAAATTGTACATACGATTGCAGTATAGGGTTCTATATTTTGTGTTTTGTATAGATTTGTGTTTAGTTTTAAATTGGCAGCTTTTTTAAATAAAATTAATAAAATAACAAAAATAAAATAATATTCACTGAATAAAATAAAATAAATAAATAGTTATATAGAAATAAGAAGTTACATGTTATTTTGTATACCTTAAAATTCTATTATTACTATTATAACGACATGCTCTTCAAAGGCGGCGCCACTTAAAAATGAGGTGTAATATTTGACAGATATTATAGCGGGAAAGTTAGGTAATTTGTTCGTTAATGGTTAAAAGTTAATTAATGTTTCTTTGTGTACATACTATTAATTATATTTTATATTATATAGATTAAAACTAAATAAACCAAACCACAGTTCATAAGAGTAGAAAAATTAAAAATTGGGTTAAAAATGTGCAACAAAATTTAAGTGCAAACCAATGAGGCATTATTTTGTACAGAAACTGATAAACTTTTATCTAAAACTAACTTTCCAGTTAAATGAAATTGTGTAACAAAAAACTTAAACTCAGCGTTAACTAGCGCCATCTGGTGAGTTGAAGATTATTAGCACTCATTATGTGGTAGTTATTATACTCTTTCACCTTCTAGGAGTCAGTTTTTGGTTTTCATTGGACCCTTTTGAGTGGACTACGGCTAAGCAATATCACAGCCTCAAAGTGTTAGTAATGTTATATTATAAATTTCATTTTTCTTTCTCTTAGGGAATTTTTCCTTACAATTTAAAGAAGACAACTCTTGAAGTATTAATTATTTAATAAAAAAAGAAATAGTCGAATTGTAAACCTCATCCTTTTTTGAAATCGTCTGAAAAATGAGTATGTACTCTTTTTATGTTAAAAGTAACGGGTCGACAAAATTTCTATCGATTCTATTTAAATTTTCCATCCATTCCCATTATTAAGGGTGTTTGCTTAGTTATTCAGCAACATCTTCTTAATTCCTGTTGCCAACACGCCCGCCAAGCGTTGGCAACTATGGCAAGTATCCCCCTTATGGGGGAGGTCTATGTTCAGCAGTGGAGTTTAATAAGATGTAATGATGAATGTATGTAAAAATAATCGCCCGCTTGCATTAACTATAAATTGATTTTTCACGTATTATAAACAAGATTTTTCTATTGAGTGTGTACTCGTATGTTGGATTGAATTGGTTTAGAGTAATGAATACAAAAAATTCTCACTAAACAAACTAGAAATATAAACGTACCGTACGTAAAATATTATTCGCAAGCGACTAAATCTTTTTTTTATAGAATAAGGGTGACAAACGAGCACACAGTCCACCTGTTGGTAAGTGGATGCTAATGCCCATAGACATCTATATTTATCCTCGATTAAGAATCAAAATGCAGATATATTGTAACTCCTGAGGACTAAGATGGAATGTCTTGTTTCCAGTAAAAAGGGTCTCCGGTTCTCTACACTCACCATACGAATCACAGCAGCATTAAACTGCTATTTTAAGCTGGTATTCTGTGAGAGCGTGGCCCTTTCCCGGTCGAGGCGACCCATTCGTGCTACAAACCTTCTGAGGTCTTCCGGTTTTTCAGGGTAAGAGAGTAAGTATAATTACATGCTTGGAGGTATTTCATCTTAATCCTCAGGGATGAAGCATCCATGGGCTGCAGTAGCCATTTAACATCAGGTGAACTGTTGGCTCGTTTGTCATATTAATGTTCGCACAATTAAGAGGGTTATGGAGTGATAAATTTGCGGGAGCTCTGGTGCGTGTGCTTTTGGCTTTTTCTTCTTATAGTTTTTTTTTCTTTTGAGCTTGAGGAGTTTAATCAGCCAGTTAAATTACTGTTAACAATTTTAACGATGCTGGCGCTAGAGATCGAAATTGAATTGTTTATCCACAATGAAATTTTAGGCCAGCGGCCCAGCGTTTCAACAACTAATTCTCTTTAGAAATACTATACTAAATAATTACATACAATACCCTGAAATTAATTGCTACGTCACATAATTTGAATTTACTGATTTTTGTAGTGTCTCAGAAAGAGTCGTGGTAACTCAGACTCTAGTGGCTGGCTGTAAATTACGATCGATGTAAGGTTCGATCTTCGCGGGCACCATTGAATTTGTTGATTGCAATTTTATGTGCTGAACACGTTTTGATGATAAAGGGTAACATCGTGATGAAACTTGCATGCACAAGAAATTATGGATACGATTTCCACAGAACAAGTTCCGGGTTGACAGCTGATAAAGTTTAAGTTATGTCAATGAGGGCTACCATCAGATGTCGTTATTTGGGACTGAGGTGATTTTATTTATCACAACTGGTCAGTGTCATCATCATTGAAAATGTGCATTATAAATAATTTTTTTCGGTTTCCAATATGTATTACGTATACGGTCCGTTTAAGTTTGTTTTGACTGTACAGGTTTAGTGTGACTGTAATTTACGTAATTTAAATTATTTTTGGGATAATAAATACCTATATTAAAAATGATAGAAATCGATTCAGTAAACGATTCTGAACAAACCACTTTCAGGATGTGCGTTAATCAAGTTACATGTTGTATAGGTTATACACAAAAAATTGCCTCAGTGACATTTTCTTTAATACTCGTAATTTACACATTTTTAACTTTTTTAATTCTAGTTTTAAAAATATTCGTAGTTTTGTTTGTCTACTTCTAATCTTTATATATAAAAATTACCTGTCACGTTGTTTGGCCGCGATGAACTTCCTAAACTACTGAACTGATTTCAATGAAATTTTGCACACTCTGTGCAGTTTGGTCCAACTTGAAAGATAGGATAGTTTTTATCCTGATAGATAAGTGACGCTCAATATATTTTTATTACGAATTTAAGGATTTTTTATATGAAGGGTCGTCGAAAAGGGCAGAACAACGTTTGCCTGGCCAGCTAATCTTATTAATATAAAATAAAAGTAATATTTCTGAAAGAAACATTACTCTGTACATTTATCCAACAAATTAACTTCCCCTGCCATAAAATCTGTTAAAATTCTCATTCCAAAGTAGCGCCGCCATAGCTAAAAAAGTAGTGAATGACCTCATTGACAGGAGTGTCTGATTGTATTGAGACGACTTACATATTTCCAGCCGAGCATTGTTTTGCAGCATTCACAGTAGATATCTGCGACCGCGTGCAGGCCCGTCAACAAGACCCGCTCCTCCGCCGGCCCGCAGCCCACGTTCACTCTGCCAATGATAAAACTTAATTTCGATTTTATGGTACACTTACAGTATAGTTGCGGTGTAAGAATATCCACTACCCCATACCCTCACGTGGGTGTCGTAAGCGACAACAGAGGGTAACAAATCAGAAGATGGCCAGCAGTGTCTTCTTAATAACGACTAAAAATAAAAATAAACCCGCTTGACCAAATTTGCAGAGAAGGTTCAGAATAAGTAATATGGGCAAATGGTGAAGAAAAATTAATTCAAAAAAAATCTCAATAATTCTCTCCTTATTATCTTTTAAATTCAAAATGCGGGTACGTGCACTATTTTCACTGATTTTACTGCGCACGCACACATTCGTAAGGGTCGATCGGTAGGCAAAAACGTTGTTGCCCATAAATCACTTTCAATGTGGGATAATTTCAAATAAAAGTTTCGACTTTTATTTGAAATAAGCCTTCTGCCTTATTTACTCGTATTTTCAAACTGCTATAACGGTATATCACTATTAATATATTTTAAATTAAGTTTAAAATTTGGCAACTCTTTAAAAAATAACCCTGTATATTATAACCCTCTTTTTGAACTACACCGCCGTCGGGTAGAAATAAACTTATTGATATTTATAGTGTTTACTGATATTGTTCACTTTTGCTGCTTATGAATATCATATAAGACTACCTTATACGTGATAGAGCCATGCTGCAGCTATATTAGTAGTATAGTTGTAGTCGGCTCGATCGGAGATGGACCACGCTCTCACAGAATATCAGCGTAAAATGGCAGCTTGACACTACTGTGTTTCGTATGGTGAGTGTGGAGAACCGGAGACCCATTTTACTGGAAAAGAGGCATTCCATCTTAGTCCTCACGGGTGACGATGCATTTGCATTTTGATTCTTTATGAGGATAAATGTAGATGTTTATGCGTCACAGCAACCACTTACCATCAGGTGGACTGTGTGCTCTTTTGTCACCCTATCCTATAAAAAAAAATAAGAACGTTGCAAATAAGCATAAGAAAAAATACTCCGAGATTCATGAAAAACACAATTCATTATACTAATGTACAAGTACTAAGAAGCACAAATGAGATCTCTGTCATTACAGACGACAATGTTTCCCTTTATAACAAAGCCTTTCGAACAACTAATCGCGTTAATGAGATACGAGATCTAATTACAAAGAGTTGGTAGAGTTAGAGAGATTTAAAAAGGGATGCGCTTAACGCTCTTCACTAAAATGTGAGTGTTCAATCATAAAAAATAAACGAAGGGAGGTCCAAAACTTAGCGGAGCGAATAGTAAAGCGTGCGGATAGAATAATTACTCGTTCAGTATTATAACAATGAGATACTGTCCAAAACTCTGCGGAGAAAATAAGAGAGGGAAGGGAAGGGATACGGTAATACCGAACAATAGTTCGGTTCCATAATTATGGGAGACTAACGAAGTATTCAAACCCCTTTGATAAGACGTCATTCGTTTAGGATTAATTGTTCAATAAAAAAGTCGATCCGGAAGAAAACTAAAAATGTTACGGTGATATTAAGAGGTCATACGATTACGAGCCATTTTTGAGGATATACGCAAAAAATCATATTGATTATTTTTAAAAGGTTATACTTAAAAATAAACAAATGTTATTTATGTTTATGTTTAAAAAGCTTACATACGAGTAGATTACATAGTGCTGATTGAGTTAATAAAAAATAGTATAGTTTTTTGCGCAAGCGCAGTTCACTCTCATAGTCCGACGGGACGGTAAGCCGACACGACCGGAGAGAGATCAGGCGCAGGACCAACGGCTTTACGTGCTTCCCGAGGCACGGGGTGAGACACCGCCAGCTTCCTGACTCCGGGCAGCTACTGAGAATTTCTTGATGGAAAAGTTCTTTGACTAATTTTTTTGGCCCGACTCGGGATTCGAACCCGGGATCTCATGATCAGCAGTCGCTACTACAACCACTTGACCAACTAGAATATAGGCTAGATCACTACTGGCATTGCTCTTTTACCTGTCCGTGAAGTTTCATGACAATCTGTTTCACCATTTCGAATTAACCCAGATAGACAGACATTTTTTTCTTAAAATGGTTATTCATGCCTCAGCTCAATTTAAGACAGTTATATCGATATTACAGACAGACGATTCAATTTTTATTTTCATTCATTCATTAATTAGGTATAGTCCTTCACAAGTCCATCACTGTCACTGTCCTGAGCCACCTGCATCCATCGACTTCCTGCATGTTTTACAAGGTCATCACCAATTATATTTAGATGCTCAATAATACTTACACTGAATTGAAAAGATACGCGCGCCCCTGGCTGCCCTGGAACGACTGGAAACAAAAAAAACCTCATATGAATGTCATTGAACATTTATTTATTGAGTTATTTTACAGCCTTTAGCTTCTGACGCTAGTGTGACTGTTAAGTGTATGCTTCTAGGTCACGGGACTATGGTTTTGAAACCAGATAAACTACTGTAAGAAAATCCACTACTCAATATCATCTCGCGTACATCGTAAGAGGCGACAGAAGGAAACTGAAACAGATAATGTGCAACGCGTATTTCCTGATAACAGTTCAAAATAATAATAATACTTCGGTTACCAATAACAGGTCCAGCGTGGCAACTATGCAATAAATAATCTATGGGGATGCTTATGTTCAAAAATAGGCTTTTGACAGGCTGTAATGATGATGATGACTTCACCAGTGGTTAAAGTTACAGCCTATATACGTCCCACTACCGGGCACAGGCCTCCTCTCATTTCTGAGAGGGTTTTAGGGCAAGGAAAACGTCACGCTGCCCCAATGCGTGTTGGCGAACTTTACATGTCTTCGAAATATTTTTTTCTTATTTCTCAGACATGCAGGTTTCCTCACGATGTTTTCCTTCATCGCCTAGCATCCTAAATCAGCACTTAAAATTGCAGTTAACAATTTCATTGTTGTCGGCGGGGATCGAACATGGGTTGCTCGAGTTCTGTGAAATTTACAGCGAGCGCTAACCATCTGAGCTACCACGGCTCAACTCACGACTTACCAGCGGTTGTCGTGACGAAATCCATGGTAAATATTCCCGGATCGGAGATTACCACATTTATTTCCTATGTTAGTAGATTTTCGTATAAGCTGTATTGACGGAACGAATGGGTCGGTTTGACCGGATGCTAATCTGTCCGGTCAAACCGACCCATTCGTTCCGTCGTAATCTCTAATCATACAATATCAGTTTAAAATAGCATAAATATCATGCTGATGTGTATGTTGATTGACGTGAAAAAGATAACCTTATTAGTTAGGTTGCATTCCAATATTATATAAGCAGGCGCAGTGGACGGAGAGGGGGAAGGTTTCTACTAAGCTTAAGTAATTTTATTTATTTGCAAAAGTATTAATAACCAAATTTAAAAAATGGAAGAGAAGGACAAAACATCGCCCTATTCTACATTGTAAGAAGGGGCAAGAATCAAACGGCTTAAAATGTAGTTGGCACGCGCGCTGTTATTGCTCGAGTGAGTGGCATGGCACGCGTCTCAACCGGTACTGTTGGTACGTAAATATCCTGTTATTCTTTTCAAGTGTACTTTTTTGTATGAATTCCGTTTGGAATAAATTGTATACAATATATCTGTCAGGTATTTTAGGTAAATTGCGTCATTGTAAAGAAAACTTTTCATTTTTTTTTAATTTGAAAACAGGTAAGACAGTTCAAGACACGTTGGACATACATTTTGAGATTGACATGCAAAAGCGTGGGTAGTTATTATGCACGCTGAACGCCCCGCTTCCCTGCACGTTCGTTACATTGCATCTTGGTCGAGGTTAACGAGGCATTCCATCTTGGTCCTAAGAGGTAATAACGCAACTAGACCATGTGCTCGTTTGTCACCTTAATTCTATAAAAATCTATACACACGTCCATTGGTCACCTTGGAAATGAGCTCGTCATGGCTGGCCAGGTGCGCGCGGCAGTGTATGCAGCTGTAGGTGCGGTGCGCCGGCGGCAGGTACGCCTGGAAGGTCTTGTTGGGCGCGCGCGTGGCCGCGGCGCCGCCCTCGCCTGCCACCCCGCCACGTTTAGTCACCCCGTCACGCATGAGTGCCTGCTAGCTACCAACACACAGCCCCGTCAGAATGGGGCGCTTCGGGTGCACTATACAAGGGCTATCCACTTGAGACAGTTATTTTTAATCTCGGAGACTGGTCAGCGAAATGTGGTTTCAAATTCACGCGGTCCTAATGTGCAACGGTGCAACGCGGTCAATATTGTCTACATTGAGCGCGTTTCAAACGACAGTAACAGCTGAGTATTTTTGAGTTGTTTTAGAGTTTTTTTGGCGGGAACTAGACGGCGGATTACTGCTCTAGTTTTATTGTTTAAAAAATGGGTTTAAGTGGTGCGATTTTGTGTATTAAATGCCTGTGTAGTGAACTATTAGTTGAAACGATGAAACAAGTGCTCTGATGGTGATGTAAACCTCAAAATAACGTGTATCTTGGCTCAAACTGTCGTTAAAATCTCCCAAAAACTTTGCAATGTGACGCATTAACATGTTGTGAAGAAGTTTTTAAACAAATAATTCTAAAATAATTTCATAAAGCAAGAGTATAAAAGTACAAATCTATTACCGAAGAGAAAGAAACGACTAAATATTGACGGACAAAGTTGACATGAGTTTAACAATTAACTTTCCATTAAAAACTAATTAGAAATTAACAAAAAAAAATACTGATTAAAATATTAATTACAAGCAGTCCAAAAAGTGGTACATCTTTTGGGAATATTAACCGTTTAACCCGTTTTATATTTCATTGGGAGGAAACGTAGAGTAACCCTTTTATCCTCGACACCGACGCAATTTTTGATTGCTCTACTAATATTGAACTTGGCATAGATATCTAATCTACGGAGTCGTGTAAACAGTGCATACTGTCATAGGTTAATTTTCATGTTGAAAAGAGTCTATGTAGCACTCTTATCACTGACTCCGATATAATTTTTGTTGGGTCAAGTCAATCTCGTCGGAAATTAATTTTATATATTTTTAATTAAGGTTTTTGGATTGGATGCTTGTCCTTTAAGCCATGTCCATTTCAATCGGAATCTTCGTTTTTATAGATTTTTTCTTCACAATATGCTGATGCGTCACATTGCGAAGGTTTTGGGAGATTTTGACAACTCAACCAACCGGACATTCGATGACGACAGTCACTCAAGTTCATAAGGTGCCTAAACGATCGAAATAACTTGAGGTTATATCAACATCGAAGCACTTGTTCCGTCGTTTTCTAAAATAGTTCACATGCGCAGACATTTAATGCACAAAATTGAACCACTGTTACGTATTCCACCTCTTCAAACCATGATTTAAACGATAAAACCGGAGCAACAATCCGTCGACGGTCAAGTTCTCGCCAAAACTCATTTTCCGATTCCGATGGAACATTGCACAGATAATCTTCGTAGTGTGAACGAAAGTGCATCAATTCATTTTATGTCTCTAGCGATTTTCATTGATAAATAAATCGAGATGTTTAATATCACACAAATTTGTATGTGTATTCAAATAAATATAGAAGTGTCAGCGCTTAGTAAATAATATATTTTTGAACGTTGAGATTTAACTTCTAACTTCTACTTCTACTTCTTCTAAACTTCTAAAATTTTAAGAACTTTAATTATAAGACATGTTTATGTACTTTAGGCTTTTTTTTATAAAATTGAAATATAAAACGAACTCACAGTCCACTGATGTTAAGTGGTTCTAAGGCCCATTGAAGTGGCCAAGTAGCAGAGTGAAATTGGTTGCATGTATCCGCAACCAACTACACACAATGAAGGCTACAGAAAAGGAATGCCTCACAGACTGGTTTTAATATTTAATTTAAATTATAATATGATAAACATACCACTTTTGTACGCAACACGGTTGTACCTAGTTAATTAATTGGATATGATTTCATATTAGACTCATAAATGCTACTCGACCCTGTAATTGTATTTTAAGTTGTTTTTATTATTAAGTTGGTTTGTCCCTTCCATACTGTTTTAAGTAATAAAATTATTAATACAGTATAATTTAATTAAGTTCTCGTGGTAAGCTATTCCTAACAGCTGTCTCTTTGAATAGTGCACGCGAGGCATTAGAGTAACAGGACTCATGCGACGTTAAATGATACGGTACGAAGTTTTATGTTTACATAATTAATTAAGTACATAAAAAAATTAAAAAAAGAGAATTAGAAAACTATTTTGTTTTAAATTAGGACACACTGCTTCTATGAAATAATTTTTCGCTAAAATTATTGTAACAAACACCAAATAGGTTTTCACAACATCATTAGTCTTTGAATAGTGCAGGACAAAGGTCTTTTCTATAATATGAAGTAAATCTTCACACTTGACAGGCGACTTGGTGATTGCGGTACCACACATCTTGCACCTTTAAAACAGTAGGGGTACGCCCAGTAAGTAGTCCTTAACTACTTGTCGTCAGGTGGACTGGAAGCTCGCACATCATATTAATATTATATTATTTATTTATAATCAGTCTCGGTTTTAAAAAAAATACCATTTTTATCTTCAAGGGCTAGTGGGGATGATGATGATGAGAGCATTATATAAATTAATAACAATTGAATCATCAACTTATGCTGCCATCATCGCGACCATCGACCCAACTACTGTGCACGCACGATATAAGGTATACTCAGCACTGACAAGATAAGTGTCGACAAACTAATATTTAGTTCTGCTTCCACGTTGAATACTTTCTTGTGTACTATACTGTACTTACGTAGTATACTGCGAAAGTGTGCAAAGAGAAAAAAATAACCCTCCCAATGGGATATACAAAATAGTGTATATCCCATTGGGAGGTTATCGAATGTAATATATGTACCGAACACACAAATAACCAGACGGACAAGAAAGCGACTTATATACAAATTTTGCATTGTCATCCAGTTCTGAGCTATATTTAAGTTTAAATTCTGTAGCTCACTGGAAAAATTGTTTAAAATCGACTGCAGAATGTGTACCAAGCAGACAGCGATGGAAGCGAGTTATAAAAAAGGTAAAGGGTGAAATAGGTACATTAAAAATGCTTTTGTTTAGCGGTTGTGATTTAGGTGCACAATGTAATTTTACGTTAATTTTACTAACGTAGATTAATGTTAGTAACTTATTAGCTTTGGTTGTCTACATCTTATTTATTAAGAGAATTAGTTCATCCCTTTGGGATATTTATAATATGATATGTTTTTTTCAACGTACATATTTTGCTGACGGTGACAGTAAACAGTAAAGTTGTTACCAAACGAAATCCTATTCCTATCGTGCGTGCATAGAACAGATAGCAGCGTGAGTCGTGAGTTACGGGGGCATAGTAGTGGGGAGTAAGTTTGCAACTGTAAATTAAATAACCCCAGTCTCCAGCAAATGTACAGCAAGCGAATGAAACGCGGGTTATCCAATAGACGATCAGGAACGACTGACGGGCCGGTCGTGTGAAAGAATTTCCAGTGTCCTAGACCTGCGTCACTGCTGTTTCAGCCTATCAAAAGTCCACAGCTGCGCATAGGCTATCCCCATATTGGGGAATACTTGCCATAGTTGCCACTTGGCAGGCGAGTAAGTAATAGCAGTTTTATTTTTCGTTTTTATTGGGAAGATGTTGCCTATCTCCTGGTTTGTTTCCCTCTGTCGCCTCCTACGACACTGGATGATATGGGGTAGTATTCTTACACCGCCACTACATGGTACAAAAGAGAGCTATAAATAGACTGAGCAAGTCGAGGCTGTGCTCACGACTTGTGCCGCTATACGCTTATGTTAGTGTGGCAACAGAAGTGATCACCGCTACCGTCGTCATCACCTGGCTGGCGCGAGCAGCAGGCGCCGGCCGCCCACATGAGCCGCGCGCCGCCGGTCAGCTGCCGCGCGCGCTCTCCTCCCGCGCCCCGCGCCTCACACCCGTGCCCGCCACCCTCTGCAACAAAACACAACACTCGTTAGCCTACTTCACTCAACTCGTCCCGAGACATCGTGACAGCATTGCGAGTGCTGGGGGCAGCGAGTACTGCCCTTTAAATATGCTGATAGCGCCAAGCGGTTTTATACGTGATAGAGACACGCAGCAGCTATTATGGTTGTAGCACGAATGGCTCGATCGGGGTAGGATCACGCTCTCACATATACCAGCGTAAAATAGCAATTTAACGCTGCTGTGTTTCGTAAGGTGAGTGGAGAACCGGAGACCCTTTTTTACTGGAAACGAGGCATTACATCTTAGTCCTCAGGAGTCATAACGCATCTGCATTTTGATTCTTAATCGAGGATAAATGTAGGGCTACAGCATCCACTTATCATCAAGTGCACTGTGTGTAAGTCAAGTCCACAGCTAGATATAGGCCTCCCCATAGATAAGGTGTTGGGTATGGTTGGTAACCAGTCTATTTTCTTGATTTTTTAAATAAAATATACATAATGTTACAATATAACCTGGCATTTATTCTATTAAAAAAAACTTAAACTTTAAAAAAATAAAATTAAAAGTAATAAACTAAATAAGGAACAATAAAATTATTATTTCAGCTTGCTAGAGATTATTTTTACAAATATTTTATATTTTATAGCTGTGCTATTAATTGTCAATCAGGAAGACGCTGCTGGCCACCTCCAGTTTCTTTTCGCTCTGTCGCCGCTTACGGTATCCACGGGACGAGTACTGGATATTATTGCACCGCCACGGCACTGTAGCCTAGATATTCCTCACATGATATTTCTTTACAAACTCAACTACTTTTTATAAGCCCTTTTAAAAATACATTCAATCTTGTAATATTTGTATTTCCTCGTAACATCATTATGCCCCATTGGTGTCGTAAGAGGGGTTTTTGGTAAAAGCTAGATAGATCTCATGACCTTGCAATAGTTGGCGTTGCACCACGTCGATAAAAACACCTAGACCGGCCTCGGGCAATGGTTATATCTGGTCATGAGATCGCCAATCTGCCCGCTATTGCAGGAAAGCACATCCTTCCGACAATTGCAGACGGAAACAGTGGCCATACATAAACTTCAACTGTAACCGGTTGGTAAAGAAAAAGGTACCACATGCATCACACAGATACATATTATTTATGTAGCTGATATAGTCTTAGTGGTAATTTACTTGCTACCCTGATGGTATTTGTTCATTTCGTGTTCGAAATTAGGAATTTTAAATTTGAAGAGGGTCAGTAATTTCGAAGGGTTTTCGGGTTTTTCACATATACTATATTTAAACTTCAGATGACGTGGTACCCTATTTCGATCCGGCCAGATACCGCATAATGACGTAATATATAAGGTAGGTACGTAAGGGTAAAATGGTCACCTTAAGCTTTGCCGCCCTATAAAACCAATACTAGGAAGAGGACAGAGACAAAAACACAAAGTCGTATACTAAAACTAATATATTAAGAAAAAAAAAACAAATAACCTTTTGCAATAATTAAAGAACACTTCGAAAAATCAACATAAAAAAACTAACTGCACTACATACACAATACTAAAATAGACTAAAATATTCACTATAATGTCAACTGTCAAAATGGCGTTGATAAAGCAGGCGGTATTTTGACCCTTCATTATTTGATTGACTGATGAAGAGCTATCGTATCACAGAACCATCTATGCAAACAATGCTGTAGTTTTTGAGTTATAAGAAAGTGAACATATTAATCGGATGACCATATTACCCTCACGTATTATATACTCATTGTCATATTATTTTTATTTATTAAAGTTAAAGAAAACACAATATTGACCTCTATTAACAGAATATTTAAGTTTTTCTACACAATTATAACAAGCAGCCTGTAATTAACTTTGAGTTTGTAATCAACATTGTCTTTAGTACCGCCAATAATCGTGGGAAAATATTTTTTATCTTTATTTTTATAATCATTGGCGCATCATTATATCAATAAATATATTTGTTGTTTTTTAAGACCATGGCTATGATGCGCGATAGGTGGCCGTGATCGAGCTATCACTAAATTTTATATTTACTCTATGAAAATTTCTAAATTAATTCGGAGTGAATTTCATTGGAAACCTACCGGAAGGTGCAAAACAGCATCTAACTATTCAACTATGTATAATTTTTGACACGTCTGTGATCGTGTAATTTCTGATAGACGTTATGTCAGTAAGGCAAGGGATTGAGGTTATTCACACAATTTCTTTTGTAGAGCTAAGATCTGATAGATGTCCATGAAATTATTTATTTATGGACCAAAATGGCTCATATTCACAGTTATATGTTGCTATAGTGCCAAAAATATCACAAAATCTGGACCAGATAGATGTCGCTGTTTAACAGATATTAATATAATTTAAATTTATATTTACCTACATTGTAAAATGTACGCAGTTATAATGAATCTGCTATTTTTTTCACAGAAAGGAAAATGCAGAACAGAGTTTGCCAGGCCAGCTAGTTTTATTATAAAACTAGCTGTTGACCGTGACTTGGTCCGCGTGGAATTTATTACATTTTTTAAGAAAGTAGTTCAAGTAGCCTAAGTTACTTCTTATAACATAAGCTATAAGCAGCCATTTCGGAGATTAGTCGGAACAAACAGGGAGACAGACAAAAAATTTAAAAATTGTGGTTTTGTTATAAGTACCGTATATACTTTAATTTGCATTTAGTAAAAAGCTGTTATTTGACATTACAAACATACACTTCAATTTTATTTACTTGTATAGATATTTCATATAGACCTACATGAATTTCTCACTTGGGCTCGTGTTTTGAAGCTGTAACTCCGTCATATTACGTTTATGGGGTGAACAATCTCTTGAAGGAGCGTCTGAGGAGTAACCTGACCGCACTTAACCCGTCGACAGCTGAGTGCGAATCAATTAACCCGTATAGTTATTTCCGACTATTGATCGAGCGAAAGCATCAGTGGGGGGCCCTCTTGTAAACTCTACTCGAAAAATTGTTATTTAAACCGCTCTGGGTGTGCAAAAATACTCGTGGAGTATATATTCGGTAGTCGTCGCCATGGTCTATGTCACCTAGGTTCTCTATCAGCCTGTAATAGGCTACTCATAGAAATATAAAAAAGATTTCTTCTTTTATTATATCTATGAGGCCAATTCTGGACATGGCCTTACTTATTGTGAGGAGCATTTGATATTGGTAATCGCCCCGATTTGCAGGCAAATTAGCAATCACAGTACCAGAGGTCTCGTACCTTAGTAGACATATGGACAATGACGGCGCAAGAACTTTTTTATTTATTTATTTCCACCAACAATATACATTAAGAGAGCAACAAAGTATATGTGATTATATCTAAAACAATACTATTGTTAGGTGATAAAAAGAATGTCCGCTACCCCTTATTATCACGTATGTGTCGTAAGAGGCGGCACAGGGAAACTGAAACAAGGGATGAGTAGCAGCATCTTGGTGAAAACAATAGGATATAATAAAAATCTAAGCGGCTGTTAAGCATAGATTGCTATGTATACTCTAAGGTTTGTAATGAATGAATACATAAAGAGTTTTTGGCGGGAACTTGACAGGCGCCGGTTTGCTGCTCTTGTATTATTGGTTGAAAAATGGTTTGAAGTGGACTTTGATATGTAAAAGTGGTGCGATTTTGTGTATTAAGTGTTTGCGTATGTGAACTATTAGTGGAAACTGTGAAACAAGTGCTCTGATGGTGATGTGATTCTCAAAATAAGGTGTCTGTCTGCTTAGGCGCCTTGAGATACCATCGCCAACCGTCAGCTGTCTGCAGGCTCAAGTTGCCGTCAATATCTCCCAAGGGCTGCACAATGTGACGTATAAATATATTGTGAAGCAGTATACTACGAAGGATAATTATAATACATTGTATCTTCAGGCTCAGAAGGGCTAGATCCCAGAGCCGTAAAGCCAGTTATTAAAAAAAGAAAGAATACATAAATGAATACGTAAAGGGATGAGGGCATCTACCACTTTTTCTGCCACCAGGGAGGCGCCACTAGAAAGTGAGGTGTAATATTTGACAGATTTCATAGCGGGGACGGGGAAGTTAATTTTTTCGGAAAATGTAAATATCATTGTTTCTTTTTGCACTATTAGCTATATTTTATATTAATAAGATTAAAAATAAATAAACCAAACCACAGATATTCATAAAAGTAGAAAAAATTAAAAAAGTTAAAAATGTGCAAAAAAATTAAAGAGCAAACCTGATAAACTTTTATTAAAAACCAACTTCTCAATTAAATTACCCTGTGTAACAAAAAACTTTACCTCAGTGTCAACTATCGACTTCTGGTGAGCAGAAAATTATTAGCATTAAAGCAGGTTATACAAAAGATATTAAGGACTGGTATCGTTTTTTACTTAAATTTTATATCTGTTAAATAAGAAGAAAACAGCAAGCAAGAAAAATCATTTTAACTCAGAATTACCTATGAATATAGCACATAATTTCAGTATGATACGGTCACAGTTTAAGTGTTAAATCTGCTATGTCCGCGTAAAAGATTTGTTACGTGCGCTATTTTTGGCGGCTATTACTCTATCGCAATACCGACAAAGTTAAAATAGCCATGAAGGTTTTATAAAAACGTTCCTTATTGTATCCGCTTATCGGCTTTGGTCTGTCCGTGTTATTGATTTCGAATGAGAACTATTAATTTAACGATACATAATCATCGAATTTAGTAAAACGATAAAAATATAAGGCCACGCAGAAAGTTTTACTACAAAAAATAAATTGTATGAGACACTGGACAGTTATAACATATTTTGAAAATACGATTATTTACAAGTAAAATACGAATTTCAAATTTCCCTCCAAAATTTTTTTAAGAGCTAAATTGAAATTTAGTATTTTTATATAATAAGGGTGACAAA